ATGTCTCTTAATACCAAGGTAGCAATAGCACAAAAAGATCTAATTTTACTAAAACCGTAATAAAATTAAAGTATTATTACAAAACTAGTAACGAAAAGATAATATGTTGTGAGTTAACAATCTATTGAATTTCATTTTAAATTTAAAAAAGAAAAACTATTAACGAAAAGATAATATGTTGTGAGTTAAGAATCTATTGAACTTCATTTGAAATTTAAAAAAGAAAATTCCTTTTAAGCACGAAAAATGAAATTCAATATTAAAACAAAACTTAAAAGGAAATAGCGAATTTTAATTTGCTCAGAGCTGGAAATAAAATACTAAAAATAATAAAATTTAATATCATGTCTATGAGAAAGAAGTTGAATTCATAACATGAAAAAAAACATTTATTTTTTCCATCACTGAGGATAAAGTGTTTTATAGCTAATTTTAAATGTTCTTAACATTTTTTAAAAATATTTATATAAAATAATTAAATGATAATCTATAATTTACGTACCGTTCTTTCTGCATTTAGATATCCAGCATTTTAAGATTTCTCTATTTTTATACTACTTAAATAATTCATTTAAATTACTGTTGTTGAGCAAGTAATTTATCGTCATTCTTTTGAAAGACATACTTTACTGTAAATAATTTACTGATACAGAAGGCTTATTTTTAATTTAAACTTTAACTGTTTCCGAAGAAGTATTTCACTATTTTCTTCAAATTTTTATTAACAGAAAAAATTATTTTTTTTAATATTAAAAATACGCATTTTATGACACTGCTTTTGTAAAACAATCAGAAGCCTTTAAAATTTCTTTGTCTCATCAAAAGATGTTCTAAATTTTTGAAGTTTCATTAAAAGAATAAATAACAATCGGGAAGGTTTTAAGAGCGTTTTGTATTACTCAGGTTTTCATATAACAAGGTATATTTTCTCTTTATGGTTATGTACCTTAAACTAAGTTTATGAGACTTTAGCTATATTTTATATCGTATTCCTTCAACTGTTTTGGTTTATTATTGTTGTTTGGTTTTCATTAGAATTATACGAGACTATGAAAGTTGTTTTCAAACTGTATAGTAAGTCTAACAAATAAAATATGGGCTAAAAGTCTTTCTTATGATGGCAATAAAATAAAGCCGCTGTTTTTTTTTTTTAATTGGCTTAGACTGAGTCCATTGTTAACACACATTCGATAGATATTTACTTTTCTATAGTTTTATGTTCAGTATAACATAACATACATTTGAAGACTATGTTATTTCCCTCAGAGTATAATGAGCTGATATAGGACTGGTGGGCTGTAAAATGGCTATTGAGTTCTACGATTTGCGGAGGAAATAAAATTATGCTTTAATAATTAAAATCGAAAGTAATTTAATGTATTTTAAAATCAGATTTAATAATACTGAAATAAAATCCGCTCATTTTTCAAAGAAATAATTTCATTGCTCAAACGAGTGTGTTTTCATAAAATTGTACTTTGTGCTTAGATATTAACAATTATCAGTCTGATAATAAACTTGCAACCAGAATACGTCGTTCATTTCTGCATATTTATGTAAAGTGAAAAACGAAATATAGATGACTCTAGATTGAGTAACATATTTATTTACATTCTCTTGTGAATCACTATAAATCTTCTACTTTTTCATTTTTCATTTTTTAGAAAAAATATTTTTATAAACATTTGATTTTCTAATAATTAATAAACTAAATTTAATTAAAAGACTAAAAAACAAAACTTTTTTAAGCGTACTGTACATACTGAATAGGACATCACATACAATAGTATTCGTTTTAAGGATGCAAAATTTTAAATTTTTATGGGGAAAAAATTAAAAAATGGGTTATGTAGTAGCATGCATTATAGCCTATTGATAGCCACAATTTAAACAAGAAATTCTAATGTTATAATAATCACACTAATGTTGCAAGCCATTCTACAGATATTAATAAAGCTAATATTGACTGTTGTATACTCTTAAGAATTGTCAATTACATGCAAAAGCAAATATGGGGCTTTATTTAATATGGGCTAAATTTATTGAGTAAAAACTTTTTCGTGAATTACCTATTTTTGGTAGTGGGAAAAAGTTTTGAAACGAATAACAAATTAATAATTTAAGTTATTCCCCGTCTCAGACTTTCTGTATTACATAAATTGCTTATAGAAACCTTACTATTATAACGCTATTGATCACTCAGAGAATGACATCGTTATCAAGCATAAATTTGCTACATTTTTTATTCCTATACTAGCCGGCAAACCCGCCAAATGAGCTACCTGCGGCCAAAACAAAATTTATAAGTCTGAAACAAAATTTATAAGTACACTCGAAACGAAAATGCATATAAGCATTTCAATATGAATAAAATCAGTTCATTCTTTCCAAGCAACGCGCAATTCATAAATATTTTTTTGTTGCCAAACCAAGAAAAGATTTTTGACACACCAGGTTAATACGTATGACGTCATGATTTAAATTTAATGTAATATAACAACATTCTTTCAATATTAACAAAAGAATTAACGTGGCAACAACATACTGTCTCAATTACCCTAACGTAAAACAAAAACGTTGCCAACAGCTGCTATTTATTTACAATGCTGACATTAACGAAAGGTTTTCGGCATACAATGAAGTCACATGCAGTTGCGTGCTTCCTTCAACGTCAGAATATAACCGTATCTAATAATAATATGTTTAATATTTGGCAATGCTTATTTTATTTCATATTTGTAAAATTTGCAAATTTTTGATTAGCAAACTCTACGATTTGCTAGCGAGCAGTGGTAACACTTTTCGAAATAATGCATTTTTTCTCCACCGAACGAAACTGTTGCCACTCGGAAAAATGAGAGCGAGAATTAGCGTTTTCAAAGTTTTTAATTAATATTTCGGCTTATTAAAATCGTAAGAAGATGAGGACGGTCGAAATGGATTCGCAGGAATTTCGGGAATACGGAGAATATCTCACTCGAAACTCAACACTCCGCCGTTCGGGAGGAGATGATATCACAAAAAAACATAGAAACGCGCACAGATTTTGATAGTACAGATTATTTTTGAAAACATTCATTGTTGCAAAAGTATTCATATTCTCTAGTTTTAAAATCATTAATTTATATTTAAATGCTAAAATTATCAAAATAATATCAGTGCTTTCTTAAACGAATGCAAAATCATAATTTCCTTTTTCGTTTTTTCTAAAGAGGCTAAACATTTTAAAAATGAAGCAGCAAAGAGATTAAATAAACTGATTGAAATGTATATTTAACGTATTTTCGAGTTCTAATTATCCTTTCCTCATTTATGAGCACTTAACATTTCATATGAAAATTCCTCAACACTTGATGGAAATAACCCTTTTTAACTCCCCATTTATTTTTAATTATTACTTTAAAAGAATAATAGAAGCGATTAAATGCAAATTTCAGTTTAGAAGTATATCTGAAATAAATGTTTAGGCCTCTTAATAAAGCTATTTTACTGAATCCGGATTAATTGTTAACTGTTTATTCACATAAAGAGCTACTTAAAAGCGAACTTTAACTAAAATATTTGAACCCTTAGATTGGAGTCTCTTCAGCAAATGATTTTAAATTGCACTCCCTATAAATATAACTACTTAATAGCGATTTATTTGCTATGAGAAATATTTGATTTCCTGACTCACAAAGGAGCTGAAGGTACTCGAAAGTAATTTGAACAATTATTTAAATTGAGTAAAATTTCGCTAAAGTATCTTACAACTTCAGCGAAACTATTCAAAGTCTAATTAAATTAATCTTGTAGGAATTAAAAATTGTTTGAAACTTGAATATGAATTAAGACCTTAAAATCTCTAAAAATAAATAATATAATTTTAATTAAATTATTGGAAAGTCAAATAGTTGCATTCAGTAATGAACGTTCTGAAAAGGAACTTCTGTAACGGCTGGAATATAACATTATCTACCATGCAAATTTGCATGCTAGTTGATCCTGAGTTTTAAAAGTGAGTAATTTTTACAACAGTAAAAATGGCTTATGCATTAGATCGCCTATCTTTAATGAATCTGATATGCAAATAGTGGTATATAAAAGAGACAATTCAATATTTTATATGTATTGAGGTAAAAACTGAGAAAAGTCTGTTTCAATTTTAAGTAAAATTTTTTTATGAGGTAAGATATAAGATAAATATGATATTAAAAAATGACATTTTAAGAAAAATACAATGTCTTATATTAGTTTTAGCGTGGTCAATTATTAAAAGGTCCAATAATTCCAGTCTATATGAAGAATATGATTATATTAGTTAATGTAAAGATACGATGAGGCTTAAATTTTCTCGAATCTTAAAAGATTCTCATATCTTCCGAATCCGCCATTTAGGAGCAATATCAAATAGAATAAAAAAAATTAAATCACGTTTAATGAAAAACAAATTTTAAAATATAATTTTTAAAGTTACATTTATAGTTATTTTAAAAATATAAGTGAAATTTAGAAAATAAAATGCAGCATTGAAATTCTTGATATCTGAGGCTCATTTTCTGAATATAATTTGACACAAAGGGTTCGAATAACAGCCCAAGTTTTACATATTTTTCTACAGCCTTTCTGATTCAAAGCAAGTGTAATATGGAAAGGTTATTTCAAAAGTTACTATGGTTGAATAGTAAGCATGGAACACTGAATTAACAAAAATAGATAAGAGAATAACACTCAGGCCACCACGAGATTATAAAGCTCATCTAGTTTCATTTAAATTGCAGGTTTTCTTTTAATGTGCTTTTCAAGTGTATGTCAATAAAGCTTATCTTTTTAAAATTATGAATTCAAACTTTTAAGAATTTTTAGACTAGGATTCAAAAATTCCAATAATTAAAAAAGGCACTAAGATTCATGTTTTCGAATCTCGAATCCTTTTCCAGTTACACAGTACACGAAAATTCGTTTTTCCCTTTCCTAAATTAAGGCTTTCGTATGATGGGCAAAAAATAAATTCTACGTACCTGATGCAAAGAATACTATCACTGTATCTTCCCCAGTCACAAAACACAAAATATTAATAGTCCTTTAGCGTTGCAAATAAAGTTCCACCGAGTGTTGATGCTAAAAACCTCTCACAAAGAGGCGAAATGATCCCAGCCGAAGAAAAACTGTGCCACCATGCCACACACAACCGATCACCAAGAACAGCTTCTTCTCTTTCTACTAACAGGGTCGAAATAAAGTGCCTTTGGGCGAAAACGGATCTTTTATAGGCAATTACCTGTGACCTATTTCTAGGAGGATCCTGGAGAGGTATCAGCAGGGCCGGAACTCGCCCGAAAAGGCCCACTTTCGCCTCTCCGCGCAATAATACGGTACAGGATAAAAATATTTCTTTCTTTTTATGCTTCTTCCCAAAGTGTGCTTACTGTTAAGAAGATCTATTTAATTAAAGTATTTATTCCATGTTAGTTGTAGAATGTGTTTTAAAAGCTGCCAAGCGGTGCGTTGACATTCGCCAGAAAAGGTAAGAATGTTGTCGGAGACGTCATTGAGTTTATCAATGACAGAGTATGTACTCATTACAATTCAAAACAACGTCTCAACACCTAGCACTTAACAGAGCAGTAAACACTCGATGTGGCTCAGATATTGGAAAGTGCTAAATATAATTGATTCAGGAACATTAAAATTTATTGTGAATAAAATTAAAAAAAGGAGCAAACAGCGAGTATATTTTAACCACTATTACATTCGAAATTTTTATTTCAGATCTAAAAAAAAATTACTGGAAAATATAGTTTGTTTTTTAAAATGATAATTTAATTTTTTACGCGAAAAAAATTATCTGAACTGACAAAATTTGAAAAATTACACAATTCAATTTCAGTACGTTTCTCTAATTAAGTTGTAACACTAAACACACACGCACAATATCTGTGTTTTAAAATTTAGGTATTTGAAAAAAAAGTCCCTTCAGAAGAAAAAATTTTCAAAAATCCGAAATCCCTCTAAATTTGCCTTTTTTTAAGCCCAAAGGGGCAGTTTTCCCAGAAGGGCTATTAATTTCATTTTGGTATTTTGCGTTGATTCATTTTAAACAGTGAATGACTTTTCAATTGTTGCCACCAAATGTTAGGCCCTGTATTATAGTTAATGAAATTAAATAATGAAGAATCTGCATAAATGTATGTATGTTTCTCGCATTGTAATAAAACAACGTTACCTAGAGCCATCCAATTTTGAATAACGTACGTCTTCACCCGAATATGGGCATCCGGAAGCCCAAATTTGGAATTTGTTTTATTACCTAATTCGTATTTTGTAAAGCATTTATGAGTTTTTGATTACTAAACTCAAAGACTTTAAAGCGAGAAATGGCAACACTGTACGGGGGGGGGATGAGAAATAACATTTTTATCTCCAGCGCGCGAGACTCTGTATCGGAAATTCTAAAGATATGTTCATTTTAAAATTAATTTGCAATATTGCTGTTGAATTGAATTTTATAGTTTGAGTACGTGGAACATAATATTTAATAAATAAATGTAACATACAGCATAACAAAATCAAATAATACATAACAAAATCCTTTCGGATTTTTTTTTTTTTTTTTTTTTTTTTTTTTTAAATTTATTTGTTTATTTATTTTCAGTGACGGACGTCAACCGTTATAAGGTTGGTCCCTACTAAGGCCGAAAGCGGTGGTCAGTTTATCACGGAGACACAAAATAGATGAGCCACGGTTGCCTCCTGCGAAGGGACAGACATTTCACGTGCATGCCTTCTCCGGGATTCAAACCCGGGACTTCGGTACGGCAGCCAGAGTCACTAATCACTTTTCCTCTGGGCGGTTCCTTCTAAAGCACTGCTGAAAAACAGATTTTAAACTGCGTCATCTCTTCAGGTTTTTCTGGTGGTGAGCAGGTGGTTTATAAAGCTTCTCAACGGCTAAAAGAAGACACCTGTGCAGTCGACTCCGGTTGAAAGATAATTGCTACTGCTTGAAACTTTCCTCATTCTGCTATGATGTAGTTACAGTAAAAAATATTTCCAAATCTTCCTTTACGATTTTACTTTCTTTTAGTACGCTATATTTCACATGATTATTTTATAGCTAATACATTAATTAATTAAAATCGTTAGGTTAAGTTAAATTAAAAGCAGTTATTTTTAAATTATTCTTTGACAGTGCGATCTTCAACGATCATTGAAAGAGAAAATATATATGTATGTTAACTAGATGCTGGAAACACAGAAAAATTGTTAATAATTTTTCCTGTTAATTATAATCTGCCTTATTTTTCTAACTGCCCTCTGATGAACTGTAATTTTAAGTTAACCAGTGACGTCATCCCGTACAACCCCCAAGTAAAATGGGAATTGATTGTATGCGATTGCTATAAAATGTTTCATGGCAGCAATAACATAATGATCGTCAAAGAAATTATTCTGAAGTTTAGTTACATGAGACATAATTTAATTATTAATACAAATCCTTTATTAATTTAATAAAACAAAAAGATTTCCAAAATTTAATTGGCAGACATTTATAATCATGAAGCATTTATAAACAACCTATACAAGCTCCATTTGATTTCCCGCAGCGACAATACGTCAAGAGTATTTTAATATATATGTACCAAAGCTTAAAACCTTCAGAACTTTCCCATAAGAAGCAACCAAGTAAAACGCTTTGAGTATAATATAATTTAGTACCAAAATTTTAAAACTAGACCTAATATCACACAAAAGTCTGGCGAAAGCAAACTGAAAACCACAAAACAAAGTAGTGCAATAACTGACAAAAAAAAAAATCGTTAGGTAACGGCTCAAATAATATTAAAGAAGCATTTCCGTTTTATTTTTGAATTAGATTTCTCATTACTAAAAAGCATTTTTTTTAATTAACCACACATCAAATATTTGAAAAACAGCACAAAAACCTTCTAAAAGAAATAGTGACTATAGAATTAAAAAAAAACAAAAGAAATGAAAATGCCAAAAGTGTTTATGACAAAAATGATTTCAAGAGGTAAAAAATTGCAGTTGGCAGAAAAGTCTGAAAGGTTTCAGATTTTAATGGTCGCCCAAAAGGATTTGCTAATGTTTTTTACTCTCTCACTTGTATTCACGTTGCACATGGAAGAAACTGCAAAAACATCCGTACAGCCAGAAAGTTGTTGTTGTTTGATAGAGTTATTTTTGATAGAGGGTCGAATTCTGGTCGAACTACCATTACTCAACTATCTCAACCGCTTCGACGCTGGTAGGCACTTCAGCTGTGGAATCGATCAGTATAAATCCCAAGATCCTCGGTCCCGTCACCCCTGGGGTGCTCTTCATGACAATTGGGTACAGAGCTGAGGAAAGTCGTACTGTCTCCTGAATGGTAGTCAAGACTCTTGACAACGACAGGCGCATTCCTTATCACGAAGAATTTCGTAGGCTTGTTCCGATGTTACTGTCAGACAAGAGAGATAAGTCACAACAACACATCACAACAAAAAGGTTTCGTAAAAGTATAGATAATTTAAACTGTATCTTTTGCCAAATTATATTCAAAAATTAATATTAAGATTTAAGAGTTTTAAATGCGTACCTCATTTATTAAATTCCATCTGCATTTTAAATAAATATTTGGTTATGAAAAGTTTCATACCGTTTATTTAATTTCGCACAGAGACGCCGCCGTGTTGGCATAGTGGTAGGAAAGCTGACTGCACTACTACAGCCTTGCTTGAGCTCGAATTCGAACCCCAAAGAAGGCATCGATGTTTTCCCTCCTCTCAAGTAGATGTAATAACGCAATTTAGTTTGCTTAGGATGCATCGCAGTCTGTCCCCTGCGGTGCATCCATAGCCCACCTCTTAGGGATGAGACAGCTAAATGACCATTGGGTTCAGCCATTCCTGGCCAATGTTTAAAGAGCAATTTCTGAAAGGAAGAATATCTTCATAGAGAACATTTTTAGGAAAAATTATTCACGTTCACTTCACACATGGGGAAAACTAGGAAAACTCCCACGTAACTAGCCCGTTCGTTGTGATTTAAACCCAGGTCGAAATACCAATGTTTAGCTCTTTTACACCTCGGTCACCGGGGAGCTAGCTCTAGAAGACATCATTTTAATAATTTGTCACCGATGGCAAATGTATTGTACACCAATTGCAAATGTATTCTACACCAATCGCAAATGTCTTGTAAAAAATCACAAACATATTGTTACATATACAATAATATAAAACTGAAAGCAAACGCGTTTTAATTTAAAATAAAATTAACTGCTTATTTATTTACTTTTAGATAAAAACAATGACTCCATGCGGAAGATGGTACTATCTCATAATGCGGTTTGTTTCGGCTTTCAGAGTAACATCAAACCTCTTTAAGCTATTTACTGGATAACACGACACTTCGCTTATCGCGACAATTTTTCAAAGTTCCGAAGTATTTTAGTAAGTCATTCATGTACGAATAATTTATGAACCATTTTGTATAGCTACTCAGTCGGAAAAGGCTGCTTACTACGTCATCTTGGTGCTGAACGTTCATTGTACGTATTTCAACAGCGCATAAAAACAGAACTTTAACTTGAATGCCATTATCTCTCATTTCTTCAACCACAAATTACTCAGTATCCTAAGCAAATCTTACGGAAAATATCCATTTCAAAGTTCCTTAATTTTCGTTATTTAAACTGAAATATTACTAAACACTGTCGGTTTAACCTAGCCGTGCCACTGTCATTTGGGGATGTTTCAAAAGGATTTTGAAACTAGTTGAAGTTTCAAGAGCCAAGAAATTTTCTTTTTTCATTTTCTGACTAGATCAGTAGTAAAAACAAAATCCATCCAACAGGAACAATGAATTTAAAAATTACTATAGTGATCAAACATCAGAAATGATTCTATAAACACAAAATATCAATTTATTGATCAATATTTATTATATTCCCTTCAAAATCATCCTCACCGACAACAATGCTATTACAAACTATTAGAACTATTACAAAAAAAGGGGAATATATTTTTTTTAAAAAAAATAATATTTAAAACAATTTCACAAGTTATGTACATTTTGATAGAGTTATTTTTAATGAATATTTTTTAAACGGAATAAAATCTGGTTAAATTATTTGTTTAATTGAAGGAAATAAATTTAACTTCAGAATAAAAAAAAAAAATTTAAATGCTAATTGTAGTATGCTTGTGCACTTACTTTCCA